TAGCAATGATCCAGAAGGAGATTGTAATTATGAATTTAAGGTGGTGGGAATCGCATTGGTTATTATTTATATCATAGTTATTATTCTCGTGGTATGTTTAATGCATTTATATCTTTTAAATACGTAATACGAATTTTATTAACTATTATATTTTGTGCTTTATAGATTCATTTTGCCTTGGTCATTGCTGCTTACGCTGCAAACCGTAGAGCTAAAGAAGAAAATGCTTCTTCAGGACGTGAAGTTTCAGAAAGCAATGTTTCTTCAGCGCATGAAACTCCGACACCCGATGTTACTGGGAAAAAAATCTGAAATTTAAATAATGCTTATTTAATTTTTTATTTGAATAATGAATGTATATGATAATTTATAAAGATTTATATAAAAAGATAGTATATGACTATATGATGAGATTAAAAAATTTATAGGGTATATTTCTTTAAAATTTACAAATTTTATTTATTGTCCAAAATGTACAATATTATTAAAGATATTCAATCAAATTTCATGATCAAATAATATATTTTTTTATCCTTTATAATAATGATGATTTTTTGAATTAGCCTAATTATAAAACAATCTGTTATAAGTTTAATTTGTCTATAAAATAAAAACATAAAAGCTGGTTATTCTATATTTGCATTAGAGATTCATAATCTAGTTTTTAATTATTGGTAGTTTATTATATTAACAAAAATATTTTAAAGATAGTTAAAAATTAAATATTTTTTTAAATATTTTAAAGTATATCAAATATATACAATTGTATATTAATTATTTTAATATTTAATATATATTTATAAAAGATAACTATAATATCAAAAAATTAAAAAAATGCTTAACTTATATTATTTTAACAGTTTTATTAAATAAATACTTATAAATTGTAGTTATAAAATACGTATTTAGTATTTAGTAAGTATTTATTTATATTTAAAATAAATATTTATTTACTATTATAATATAATATAATATAATATAAATCAAATATTAGTTTTAATTATTTTATAAATAATTTTTACACATTCATTAAAAAATTACTTAAATATACTACTTTTTAATTGCTATCATAATTAATATTAAATAAATAAATAATTTTAATATTTTATAAATATTTTTTAAACATGTACAGTCGACCCTCTATATAGTCACCTCCTATACAATTATATCATATGTAATTACATTTTTATTTAGACCAAACTATGATTTAATTTATAAGAAAAAACCTCTATATAAGCACAACTTCTTTAAAAGAATATTTTAAAAAAATTTACTATATGCCAACTGTGTGATTGTATAAGAGAATAACTGTATAATAAAATTACTTAAATTTAATATTTTTAATTATTATAATAAATAATATTAATAAATAAGTTTTTAACTATTTTTAACCATGGGTAATGTAACCACTCCTATTAAATTTAGGGTTAGAGTGCAATTTTAGGAATTTTTTTTTTATAATATAATGTATATTAGATATAAGGTCCTGATTTCAGTTTTTGCAAGGTTTTTTGGGTCCTGAACATTTTTACTTAGAATACCTGATCCAGTTTACTTAGTACATTTTTGAGATATAGCACCCCCCTGGTGATGTAACCAGGGGAGCAAGTTAGCAATAGTCAATAAATAAATAATATTAATATTTAAATTAAATAAGTAATTAATTTTAATACTTATTAAGTACTATAAAGAAACAAAATTTTCAGATAAAAATTTTTTACTTATTTTTGTTATAATATAAAATTTTATTTATTTTATTTTATTTTTTTTTTTGGTGTTAAGATAACCTCTATGGCCAGGGGCTTTTTATTAGATAATTAACAATGTTTACAATTATGATAAGGGTACAACTAGCCACACAT